TGCGAGTCGAGAGCTGGTTTTCAAGGCTAAGTATGGGATCGGCTCAGGCTTTCATGCACATGACCTGGGTGATGTTGCTAAAGGCTCGTGCTGGCCGGTTCTCATCGATCTCATCACTCGTCAACAAAGGCTAACAACGATCTTTTTCATCTCGTCTATATCTATGGTTTCTTGCAGAAATGAAATCAAAGATTACACGTTCTACAACCGCCAATTTGGAGAGAATGAAACTTTTTTTCTTGTGTATCTTTGTTTTTTTCACTATAGCTACTTGCAGATGATCGATGAACGTTTGGACCGCCAGCGTTGGTGTGGAAGCCTCGGGATAGAGTTTGGAAGGACATGGACGCCCCGGCGCTTCCTCCGCGGCTAGAGTATTTGGGCTTATTGATGGGGTTGTCGTACTCCCCTCATCCTTCTTTGCAACAACCTTCTCCGCAGCATTTCACCAGCTCCCCGCAGCATCCCTCTTCAATCTTCCAGGCCCGGATCAGTCTCCGCGTCTGGAGTATAGCCTCTCGCTACATAACTCAGTATCCCTCTCCACATCCACCTCCTACTCCTTCCGGCACTTCCTCCGCCAGTGGACTACCAGGCCCGAATGAACCTCCGCAGTTGGAATATGCTTCATATGCGTTGGGTTCTGCAAGTTTATCAAAGTCGTTATCAGCTGCTGCTCCCGCTGCTGGAGAAGGGGTTTAGCGCAGTTGATGATGATTCCGGGCGTGGGGAAGAAGCCGAAGAGGAATAGGATTGCTGTGCTGAATGGTGGATCTATTGGGTACCGAGAGACAACTTCTGTGACGGATACGGCGCCAGCGGATTTGCCCTAGGATATCTTGTGAGATACGGGTTTGAAGACTCAATGCCGGACAATGGTATGTTGTATTCCATCTTGTGGGTAATTTCATTATTAATTTTCTCGTTTAGCGTATTCGTTTCTGCGTCCGGCTACTGCGTTTGCTGTCTCCATCAAGACTCATCGACACCATTTATTTTTCAGCTTAACGCCTTAACGATTTACGTTACCAACTCTCGGAAAGCCACCACTCAGGCTCAAGATTCGCTGAAGGACTTTGGTGTGGACGATGTAGTAGTGTCTTTATGCTAGGAACCAATCTGTTCTCAAGTACGTGTCATTCATATGTCGGCAACCGATACCAATTAATTGGGTCTCCTGTTTTACAGCTACACTTTGAATGCTCTGTATTGTCACCTAACGACGACAACTCCGCTGTATCTTTGTCGCCTGCGAGGACCGCAGACATATGTAACCGCCCAGGACACGTCTGTATCACACCTTCTCGTCTCTGGCCTTTGTTTTCAAATCCACGCTACAGCCGAAGCGCTGAAGCTCTTCCCTCACCACGTGTCACTGTTCGAATTGGAACTACCCAAATTTCCACTTCGGTATCGGAAACACTGCAAGACCGATGTTCAGTGTCTACGACGCACGGCAATCGTTATTTCCACCTCAGCCCTGCTGATACTCGCTGAGGAATGGGGAAGTTTCAACTTCCCGAAACTCGGCCTTCATTGACCATCGCTGGGTTAATCACTGACTCTTCTCTGTTTCAACTGCACCTTGCACCTCTGAGCATGTCTCACATAGTAGGCAGCAACCCAAACAATAGAAACAACGCCTAATACTATACCAACTAGGCGCTTATACAAGCGCCGTTTGAGATGCCCTGGAGCCAATGTTGCCCCGATCAGCTTAATTTCATTTGTAAAAGGTAGCCTGACATCCCTCACCCAACATATGGTCACCATAGCCCTGTATGTCGAGCTCATCGTCGGCAATGAAATTCGCAATTTAATGCCTTTTTTAATGATGGCTGGGAAAGAATGGCATATATGTTGGTAATGAATAACCAGTGGATGAGACTTGTAGGGCATGATATGTTCCTTAGAGGTTAGGGATTAGGGGATCATAGAGGGTTTTTATCTCAGGGTTGTCGTCGTCACAAAAAATGTGTTTTACTACAGAGTGTGTGATTTCAAGGGGGCGCTAATTTGGACCAGTCATGGTTATCCATGTATGCACATTCAGGTGGTCATGTAACTTGTTATTAGTTTATTAGGACCTCTGATCACCTACTCCATTCACCTTCCGCCGTCAACCCTGCTTAGGGGGGGTATACCAGTGTCCAGAGTTAATATGCCATCAAAACCACTAAATCGGGGTCTTTGTTAGGTATGTCTCAAATAAAAATATTTTGACTATCCCAGTCACTTTTAGGGACTATTTCCTTCATATTCCATGTACCAAGTTATATCTCAATGTTGCCATACAGCCCTCTAGCGCAATTTTAATGAAATCCCCCGCTTCATTCTGGTACTTTTTGCTTTTCCTTTAGGCAAATGTATGTTGCATCTATGCTAAATACATGATTTATTATAGGGACCTAATAGCCACTATTACCTCCCCCTATGCTCATTTGGTGAATTTATTACCTTCTTCTGTCTTTGTGAGCAATTTGGTCAAGGGTCACGTAGAGTTTCAGGGTTAGCTGTGTATGGCCCATCCACCAGCATGGTTTGGTGTTACAAGGCACCTATCATGTCTTTCACACATATTTCATGTACTATGTGTGGCCTAAATGTCTTTATTCATGGCTCTATGCACTAATTATATCTTGGCGGCTATTTTTTTGGTGGCTGTGTATCAAGTATTGGTCATTCCCACTTTGGAATGACATTGAACAAAAACATAGCACCACTACCAATTGTGGCCTAGGGACTCGAACCCTTGTGCATTCTCTCAGCCTTGGACTGTTTTTTTTTTTTCCCTTGTACCACTTTGCTATACAACTTCACCACATAGTGAGCAGTTGCATCACGTGTCTTTATCTTAGTATTCCTAATCTTAACAAAGCTATCACTCGGCAAGCTCACGGGTTCGAATCCCATCTGAGCGCACCTTGAGAAACAGATCCATGAACATCCTCTGTGGGGGTTACGCCAAGAGTGCGAAGCTTGGGGCGAATCTCGAGCACACTGGACAATGAAATTAATTATCACGTGATGGGTGATGAGCCATATCTCATGCCTGGGGAATGGTTTATGACTCACTGCACATCACATGACCTCTTCTGTTAGGGCAAGCATCATGTGACAGCTGATGAGTCAAATTTCATGCCTGGGGCGCCATTTGTGACTCACCGGTAGATCAGGTGATGAGACAATGTTGTGCAATGACCTCATTGCATCATTGGTTTTTCAAATTGTGCACAACCATATTAGGCTTACTATCGGAACTGAATTTCAGTTCCGATGTTAATGACATCATCTGATGAGCCATATCTGATGCCCGGTTTATAGCTCACTCGTGTGTCATGTGGCCTGTTCCCATGAGACTGCTCACCCGCTTGTGATGACAAGAGTTGTTGTTACCATAATAATGCTACTCTCAATCAATATATCCCGCAAGCTCAGCCAGGGTTCAATTTCACTGAGTGACCATTTCTTGCGCTTTTTTTCAATGTACCGCTCTCCATAAAAATTAAGTGTCTTGACATGGGTATTTCCTGCCCAAGGAATACTTTATGACTATCTGATAGATACAATGTTAATTCCAAGAGCGGTGAATGCTTCCAAACTGAAGAACTGGTAAAATAAAAATAATAGCTTCTTTAGGGTAGGCTTTTGCGCAATGGGATTGCCCCGGTAAAAATAGATATATGACATCATCACACTGTTGTTTTTCAAATCCCTGTCTTTAGGGTAGGCTTTTGCGCAGTGGGATTCGGCTTTTGTATTCAAATGAAACTAGATAAGAGTGCAATGACATCATTGCGTCATTGGTTTTTCAAATCCCTGTCTTTAGGGTAGGCTTTTGCGCAATGGGATTGCCCCGGTAAAAATAGATATATGACATCATCACACTGTTGTTTTTCAAATCCCTGTCTTTAGGGTAGGCTTTTGCGCAGTGGGATTAGGCTTTTGTATTCAAATGAAACCAGATAAGAGTGCAATGACATCATTGTGTCATTGGTTTTTTGAATCCCTTTCTTTAGGGTAGGCTTTTGCGCAATGGGATTAGGCCTTGGGTCACCCATATGCCATATGACCTGTTCCTTTACGACTTCAAGGCATATAACCCTTGCCCAATCAAAGTCCCTTTGATGACAACAGTTGTTACCTTAACAATACTCAGATAGTATAGTGGTATTAGCTCTTGGGTCAATATCAATCCCCAAGCTCACGGGTTCAATTCCCCTCTGTGTACTTTGGCCCCCATTCCTTGTTAATTTTTTTTTTCCTCAATATCAATACTCAATTTCTCTGGCGTGTTAGAACCATGTAAAGCTAGCATTAATTCCAAAAATGGTAACTGGTTCCACTCTGAGGAACATTAGGCTGACCTGTAATTGAACCTTGATTTTAATGACACCACGTGACGTTTGATGAGCCATATCTTATGCCCGGGGAATGGTTTATGACTCACTCATGTCACATGACCTGTTTCCATTAGGTGTAGGTGCTCCTAGCCTGGCTCTTGCCTTTAACCAGTTTGGAAAATCCTGATAGTGGCAACAGAAAAAAGGCCCGGGAAGGGATGGGCTTCTTGAGTTTATAGACTATCTGGCCATGACTACGACCCATGTTGACCTCCCAACCCATCCATATTTTTCTTGTGATATAAAAAAAACTGGCCGTCATATATGATCACAAGTGAAATATCTACTTAGAGCCTGCTTGGGAGTCGAACCCAAAGCATCTTGATAAGATGAGTTGAATGAATGATAATGCCGCTGCACCATCAGGCCATGGATAAGAGCACCCATATCTTTTCTTTAACAATCACATTCAAAGAATTTATTTGGTGGCATATGATTGTGAGTAAATGATAGATATTCCTAAAAGGAATGGTTTCTTGTTAGTTACTTAATGGGGTAATGATGTCATTGTCATCCAAACCAAAAATTCTGCTCTGAGCATTGTAATACACTACCTTCAAGGTGTGTGTTGTAGATCAGCGTCTGAAATTTAAGAATGCCCTTATAGTCTAGTGGTATGACACTTCAGTCCTATAAACGTCAATGTCCTGTACCTCTGACTGAGGAGGCGTGGGTTCAAATCCCACTAAGGGTATACGTCCACTCCTTTCTAAAGGAGCTGTTACATTTTTTTATTGATGGGGTAAGGTGTTGTTTCAAGCCAGGAACCAACAGCCAGAGATACAATGACATCATGCTCGAGTTTCTTGTCAGCGACAAACTGTCCAAGGGCATGTGCTGGGACTATATCACCTCCAGTGCTCTGGACAATCAAACAAAAAATAAATCTGTTATACTTATAAGCCCATGTTGCCTGAGTGGATCGAACCCTTGTAGATTGCATTAAATAATAATGACGAATCACATATGCCACTGAGGCATTATCAAGTTCCGAATATATGGCGTCTTTATCACTAACTGATCTGACATTTGATGAATCACGGCATCTAAGCCACTGTGACTTGCTTGTTTGAGTGTGTAATAGGAATTGTCCGCCCGGTTAAAGCTAGTCCTACGACACACTACCTGGATGTACTTGCCATCATCTCCTGTCAATTCCTGATAGCGGCTCGGTCATTTCACTTGATCTCTTGTCATAACCTAAGGATGTGAGCAATCGCACCTGCACTGCAAACTGTTTACGCTGTAAAGTTTGACTGTCAATAGCTGGCCAGTAACAAGAAAAATCTACTCAACAGCTGGAGCATCGCTGCTCGTTCTGTTTCAGGGGGGGCGCATTCACCTGCTCGTCCGACATACTCACCAACCGTCTCAGGAGAATCTACAATATTTTTTCTTTTTGAAAACTTGTTTCGCATTTGGCAGATGTCCTTTGGGGTGTGATTCAAAGTCTAGGAGAGTTTTACAAGTTCTTGGGCCCAAGTCTTATTTGAAGGAGAGATGTTTTAGTATTGGAGGAATCATCATCGATCCCATTTAGGCTGGAAGCTGATTTCATAGCAATCCTCAGATAGTATAGTGGAATTAGCCCTTGGTCAGTACCATTTTAGGGGCTGGGGTTCGACTCCCTCTGAGACTGATATGAATCTTGATGCCTTTTTTTAATAATTTAAATTGACACCATAACAACACTCAGATAACACAGTTACAACAGTTGGTGAGACATGGGTTTAAATGTGGTGCCATTGCACTATTAGGCCATGAATACCGCTGAAGGCAAAGAACTCCATTGAACATTATATGTACATCCAGCTCACCAACACTGTAGGCGGACATTTCCACATACCTCAATAGATTTTGACTGCAGAAATTATTAATTCCCTTGTGGTCTAGTGGTTTGATGCTCTACTTTGACCAAAGTGGTGTGGGTTCGTATCCCACCAAGGGTACACATACACTGCGCCCTGAACATGTTTTTATCTTGTCCGAGGACAAAATCCACAACTTAATCACAGATGGGATCAAACCCTTTGAATCATATGCCACCCATTGGAGGACCTGCTTACCCCTTCCAATTTTTTATGCACTCTGCTCATACAGATAAAACAGTTATTGTATCCGCGGGATTTGAACCCTTGTGGGTCGCATGCCACTGTGCCATACTATCAAAATATCTTTCAGGAAACCTGTAACCCTCTGTGTTTAGGAGGCTAGTAAACTTGGCAGTATGATGACATCATTCCAAGTTCAGCACGAAACTTCTGACCCATATACTGTTTTATGACTCTGTTAGAGCAAAACACAAAAAACTGTCATTGTCATTGTGTGAGCTACAGGTACACTTGAAGGGGGATTCGAACCCCCGCCTCCTTGCAATCATCTGTCACTGGAGCTGAACACATGATTTCAAGGCATCTTAACCACTTGACTATTCAAGTGTGTTTTAATACAACCCCTACTTGTATCAAGGCTATCACGCACCATATGCGTTGCACAAACAAAAATGTATTATCTCAGGAATCAAACCCCTGCTTCTAGTTGTGTTTGCCACTAGGCAAGGTCACAAAAACCACATAGTCCTTTGCATGTATCAGTTTACGGTCACCCTAGAGTGTAAAAAATTTATTTTTAATTTGAGCCCTCAGCTACACCCAAAGGGGAATTTGAACCTCCGCCTCCTTGAAATATTGAGATCTTTCACCAGGTTGATGATTTCAAGGTGTCTTGAGTGTGTACTAGTTCTTGTTCGTTGTGTTTTACTACAGAGTTTTCCCATATTGTTGACGCCGGAATGTACAGAAATTGGTATCCTCTCATGGAAATTATACTTATTGTGACCCTTTGACTACGCTCATAGGAGGAATCAAACCCCTGCTTCATAATCTCAAGGCGTGTATGCCACTTGACTATTCAAGTGTGTACTTGCTTTATTTTTATACGGTCACCCTTCCAGCAATACAAGCAACTATTTGTTAAAACATATGCCGGACGCCGGAATATACAGAACTTGCTCTAGAGCCTGAAAAAAAGTATACTCATCGCAAGCCTCAGGCTATACTCAAAGGAGGAATCGAACCTCCGCCTCTTGAAATATCGAAACCCTTTGCCGAGTTTATAATTTCAAGGCATCTTGACCACTTGACCATTTGAGTGTGTACTAGCTTTTGTATGTTGTGTTTTACCACAGAGTCCTTTCCCATTTTGTGGTAAACTAAACTTTTGCTGTGAATTAGGAGTTGTAAAACTACACATTATGGCCTCTTTACAGCTTGCTCTTAAGCATGCCTTCTCAAGGCTATCATGCAACATATGCGGTGCACAGAAAAAATGTATTCCCTCACACTCAAAGGAGGATTCGAACCCCCGCCTCCTTGAAAGATCAAATCGTGTGGGCATATCTATAATTGCAAGGTGTCTTGACCACTTGACTATTCGAGTGCGTACATCAAGTGCGGTTTGATGAAACCTGTTACTGTAGGATACGGGAAAAAGTTGACAGTGGTAACCCTGGTCAAGTGATACCAAACTTGAATCTGATATATCTTAATTTCAAGCCATGTGTCTATTTGATTCAGGATTGACATGGCAAGCCGGCACACTGTACTTGAGGAACCCAACTAGGTGTGGGCACTGGAAAAAAAATGTAACCCGTCGATCATTTCCCACCACACTCAAAGGAGGAATCGAACCCCCGCCTCCTTGAATGATGAAATCTTGTGACAAATCTATAATTTCAAGGCGTCTTATCCACTTGACTATGTGAGTGCATACCAGATTGCATTCTTGTAACCATATCCCGTTGTGCCCTCATCTAGAATAAACATAAGGAAGAATCAAATACTACCTATATGCGGAGCGGCGTTTGATACAAACGCCGATGAATCCCATTCCTTGAGGCACAGTTTTGACCTGTTCCCTTTCATTCTATATTCGTTGGATAGCCCAACTGGCTTTGACTGGGATTATTTTCAAGTAGCAAAGACTGATTCATGGGAGATTTTAGCCTACAAAGTGACCTTCCGAGTGTCAAAAAGGTGATTTGAACTCGTCTATACAACCTTACCGGGAATTGAACCCGTGCGGCACTGCGCATGCGCATAAGGCATGCTACTGACGTGTTACCAACTGCACTACCAGGCTGTAATGGAAAGAAGGAAGGAAGAATTTATTACACGGCGTGGTCCAAGTGCTGAATGCCAGAACTGTTGGGAGAGGAGTGGACGAGCTCGCAGCTAAGGTGCTGTAGATCCATCCGTCTCATCAATGGCTAGATAACATATATATACGGCGTAATGGAAGGGTTTGTAGTCTGCGGAACCATCAGCGCCGGAGTCAGATTGACTGGTATTGTATAAAAATGACCTTCCGAGTGTCAAAAAGGCGATTTGAACTTACTTATACGACCTTACCGGGAATTGAACCCGTGCGGCACTGCGCATGCGCATAAGGCATGCTACTGACATGTTACCAACTGCACTACCTGGCCATAATGGAAGAGCCTATGGTCAACCTCTTAACCTCCAATTTGTACAACAGACTGCATATTCAAGTGAGCCGGACGCCCTTCTGGAATTTATACTCATGATCGGGTGTTCACTTTCAGAGCCTTGCGGTAGATTAATCGCAGGTTTCATGGCTGATTATATTACCAAGTAGTTGAGTTTTCGATGCGCCTACAATATGTAGCCGGTGGGATTTTTTCCCTTTCCAATCTCGATTATTCAACAATAGCTACGTTAGACAGTTTTTTCAGGTATAACACTTCTTTTCCCACTAGAAATCCTCGTTGAAAACCCTAACACGACATGTCAAATGCTTGAAAAGTGAAAGCCAGACAGCGGCACTTACAGGGATGCGGTGGAAAGAGAGCTGGTTGGTTTTTCGACACCAACCTGGGCCTTTGCATTGTTCGATGACTCCAACGGTTTGAATGAAAACACGGTCGCGGAATTGTATATGGCCGTTCCTCCAAACCCGATGATCAATCTATCAGCTGCGAATTCAATATGCTGGTTGATGAGGTTAACATCCAATCCTATGTCAAGACTCACTATTATCTGTTAAACAAGTAAGATTCACGGAAAGTAACCGCACATAGAAAGTACCTTTTACAAAGTCTTGTTCGATCGTAACTGCCTCTTTGACGATGTCAGCTAGACTGCAAGGGTGAACACCAAGGAATTGAACATGACGTCCTGATGAAGGTCTCGAGTAATCTCGAGAAAGGCAGAAGATATGTTGGCAGATGGATCTTCCCTCGTTGTCCATTCAATTGCAGCAAGCGTACCGGCACAGAACACCCCTCTAACAAGGGCATCAACTAGCAAAAGTTTACTGAATCTGGTTCCTGGTTCAACGATCTGCCTTTGAATCCAACTCATCTTGGTCTGAAGACTGGGTGAAGGGTTGTTGGACTGAGGTTTGAGGTAATCGGAGTACACCTCCAGATGAATACTGGATCGTATATTCTGAAATCCATAGTAAGAGCGGGCCTCCTGGATTTGGATGCCTTTGGAGATTCGGCTGCTAAGATCGTGAGTAGTAGGGGAGTCAAACATTGACACTAATTCATGTGAATTATTTCGAGGTGCCGGAGTATTGCTCTGATCATCTGCATTCAATTTTAGATCACTCCTGGCAACTCGATGTGGTTCCACACAGGAGAATGTGAGGGAAAAAAAGGTGGACAGACGTGGAATGGCCCGAGTAGAAATTGAACCTATGCCTTAGACTCCCTGGGATTGCAGATGCCGTGTTTTCTAATCCGGGCATCAACTTGTAGCTAGTTGAACCCATATCCAAGGGTTTGTTGTGCTTAGTTTTGCACCACCTGATGCTACCACACTTATGCTCAACCTCAGAAGCAGGAGATTTACAGATGAATTGACACAATACCTAGCAAGGGGCTTATAGCCCAGTGGTTTAGGGGGGTTATCTGAACGCATGTGGGCTCAAATCCCACAAAGGGCATCCGCGCGCATTCTCAAAAGAAGGTTACCCACTTCCTGCAGAGATCTAGTCATTACTAGACTTAACATCGGAACCAATTTTTCGTTCCGATCCTAATGACATCATTACATGTGACAGCTGATGAGCCATATCTCATGCCTGGGGCACCATTTTTGACTCACCACACATCATGTTTACTTGACCCAAGTTCCAACTCAATCTGATAGATACGCAGTCTCCTGTGTTCCTGCCTCAAGGAGTAACTATGTTTGCAACTCAACAGTCTAACAGAGGGGTCGCAAAAAATTGAACAGAGACTCACAGGAAGACTCGAACTCCCACCTCCTCGAAAGAACATGTAAATGATTTCAAGGTGTCTTGACTGCTAGACTATATGACTGCACTCTACAAGGTGGTGAACCTGGTAAAGTGAGCTTACAGGAGCTGCCACTAACATGTGTCTGTAGATTTTCACTCAATGTATTGTATTCCAAACTCATCCCATGTGCAAGCACATATCCTGATCACTTCTACGTGGTCCCATAGTACTGGGTCTGGGATAAAAACCTGTATGATCTCTGATTTTACTTCAAGGAATACAACTAGGAATACTTGCGCTATGCCCACAGTGCTATAAAACTAGAATATGCCTAGCTGTGGTCCCAGACAGATGCTTTACTAAAAACTGGTATATTCCAAACTCATCCCATGTGCAAGCACATATCCTGATCACTTCTGCATGGTCCCATAGTACTGGGTCTGGGATAAAAACCTGTATGATCTCTCGACTACACCCAAAGGAGGATTCGAACCCCCACCTCCTTGAAATATTGTTGTTCAGTGAACAATATAATTTCAAGGTGTCTTGACCACTTGACTATTCGAGTGTATACCAGATGGTGTTTCTAATATGTGAAATGCGGATGTGGTACCACTCAGGCAAGGTTGTACATGGTGTATCCTACTCAGGAGGAATCAAACCCCCCCCCACTTGTAATTTCAAGGTGCTTTGACCACTTGACTATTCTAGTGTGCAGACTAAATGATGTTTGACCACCAAACTGGTGCCACCACAGTTGATCAAGGCTATAATGTGTGTGCCAAGCAATCTAGCGTTTGGCAGTCTGTCAAAGAGTGGAAAAAAAAATCGAACGAGTAAGCCCGCCTCCTTGAAGGATGAGATTTTACTTCAAGGCGGCTTGACCACATGACTATACGAGTGCGTATGTGCCCTGAGACAGAAACGAGCGCTGTAGGCCTATGCTTAGTCCAGACATTAGAAGCAGTGGATGTAGATGACATCACCTTCTCCCGTGTGACTTGGACAGCGAAAAAAAATCATCCATCCTTTGATACCCACAGGAAGATTTGAACTCCCGTCTCCTTGGAATCTGATATTGGACCCGAGTCGTACAATTTCAAGGCGTCTTGGCCACTAGACTATGCGAGTACGTCCAATAAACCAGTGTGCTTTTACATAGCTGAGACCCCGCCTGGCCGTACCATAGAGTGGCAAAAACCTGATGATCTATCAGCCAAAGGAGGATTTGAACCCCCGCCTCCTTGAAAGATGTCGATACTTTATATCTATAATTCCAAGGCGTCTTGACCACTTGACCATTTGGGTGTGTACTACAAGTGCTGTAACTTGCCAATCCATCTTTATCTGCGGAAACAAATACAGCCATTAATGCCTCCTTGACACTTGACAATTCGAGTGCATACATTTTCTCACGGCCAAGTATTGCTCTTGTCAACGTGCTGCTGTTCCTGCTCCTCATCTAGAATAAAAACATGGGACTTGAATTATCTATTCTCAGATACTCACAGGAAGAATCGAACTCCCGTCTCCTTGGAATCTGAACTTTGCTCGCTCCTAATGATCTCAAGGCGTCGTGTCCGCTGGACTATGCGAGTTCATTTTATAAGTAGTAACCCTGGTCAAGTGGCATTAAACCATGCTCGAAGTATGAATCGAACCTCTGCTTCCTTGTTTCAGTTTTATATCTTGACCACTTGGCTATTCAAGTGTTGTACTACAGGGGTTGACGCAGGTCAAGTGCAGCCATTCGCTGTCCCCTTTCCTCATTTAGAATAAACATCCCCTTGCCGATGCCCTACTTTCAACAATAGCTGAATCCCACCAAGGGCCACAGTGAGCTGCAAGCTCTGAAATAACCCCCCCAAGATGTAAGCCATCTTAGGTTTGTAGAGGGTCCACCCACAAGTAACAACTTGAGAAATTTCCTGCGATGTTAATCCGTCATTTGGAGTGGCACTACAAGTAAGAGAAGGGCTCATCTGTTAGCTCACCTTTAAAAGTAGTCCCGTCGGTACACAGGTTCAAACACTGCAGGACATGCTGTTAGGGTTTATGACTTGACAGGGCATGCTTCACTAACTTTCCACATCCGTGCTATAACAAGTTAATCCACCCCTAAAGAACCTTTGGGTCAAGATGACACCGTTTTAGTAATTTGACAACGCCCTGATGGCACAACAGTTTGTTGGTATCAGGGCATATCTAGATCGAAGGACATGAGGGTTCAAACCCTTGAGGGTGAATCTATTTTTTTTCCGTGTGTTACAGTTGGCAACATCTTGGGAGTTGTTTAACCAGGTTATCATGGATCTATACTTCACGGGCGGGAGTGCACCTTCCAAGCTGTTACAGAGCGCGAATAAATATCCAAGATCTGCCCAGGATGGGTTTGAAGCCATCATCAGCATCTTTTTATCCTTGAGCTATTCGTCCGGCGTGGGGTGACTCCCGCAGTACCAGAGACAATGAGAAAAAATGTAGCCGGATCGAACCCCCGCCTCCTTTCCCCCCACTCGATCTCAATTCTACCACAAGGCAATTCACTTGTACCACCCGGCAGATCAGAGTAGCAATGGCGATGAACACCTACTAAACCCCCCCCCCCCTCCAAGTTCTTTATAGCGCTCACTAAAAATCTTTAATCGAAATGCTCTTCTATTATACTCACAGGAGGAATCGAACCCCCGCCTCCTTGGAATATTGACATGTGAGAATGAGATCTACTACAACAATTCAAGGCGTCTTAGCCACTGGACTATATGAGTGCATATCAGGAACTTGGTGAACCAGGTTAAATGATAGAGGCCAGGTGGCCACAGAGACTTTCAGTTAGTGATTAAACATTGATCTACCCCACTTCTCAGCCTATGGAGAGTATCAAGATATTACCTTGCCTACCCAAACCAAAATATGTTTGGATTGACATCGAATTACACTAATATATACATGGAAACGTGTAAAGGCTAATGGGGTAGTGGTCAAACCCTTGGGTCCACCAATCCAAGACAGGTTCAATTCCTTCTCGGCGCACTCGCAACATTGGTCAAAGATGTATGATTGTTTTTTAAACTAGAGAGCGACGCATTTGAAAAAGGACCTGCGGTCAAGAGATGGAGAAAAATATAACATGCCACTCGCGACCTACTTTCATCATTTTGTTCGTCGGATTTTCACCACCAAGGCTTCAAAGTTGAAGTAAACAGCAATGTGTGAACATGAGATTTCAAGCCACACGTCACTTTCGTAGTACTCGACAAACGGAGATCTCTTCAGCACCTCCGAGTTACATCCCAGAGACGCATAGGGAATGGCCATATCAACAGGCAGGTCCCCCGTCAAGCTCAATTGAATACTACAACGTGTTTGCTCTCCCCGCAGAATTATATGCCGATCACATACCCAACACTCAAACAACAGCTCACAATGCCCTGATGGCTCAACGGTTAGTGTGGCATCTGTTCACATTTAAATTGGTGGGCTCATTGGAGGTTCAAACCTCGCAGGGAACTGACGCACTCGATTTCTCTTAGGATTTCATTTTTTAGGTGCTACCCTCCACGTGCCGACCATATACCCAACACTCAAACAACAGCTCACAATGCCCTGCTGGCTCAACGGTTAGTGTGGCATCTGTTCACATTTGATTTGGTGGGCTCATTGGAGGTTCAAACCTCGCCGGGTACTAGTGGCATACTCCAGGTCTCGTGAGTTTAATTTTATTATTCCTTATGTAGGGACATGCATTGCGGACATTACCTGGCAAGACATGTCAGAAAAAAATCACTCTGTCTCCTGTTCTGGGATATCATTTAGAGAGGGATTCGAACCCCAGGATCTCAAATGCCGTACTGATGCAGCCTGACAATGAGAGGTCCAGACCACTTGACGACGTGGGCATGTGTTCAGATTATGGGTAGTCAATAAGGCCAACCCGCTGAGCCAAAGGCGAACGTGGATAAGACAAAGAGTGGTATGGCCACGACCTTTGGCGCAACGGTTTGTCTGTAAGAGACTCTCGCAGCATATTGCTATGTGTACAGGAAATAATTATCTTATGGTCATGTATATCCTCTTCTGCGATTACGCACAGGCACACAATGGTTTAGGGGGGTTATCTGAACGCATGTGGGCTCAAATCCCACAAAGGGCATCCGCGCACATTCTCAAAAGAAGGTTACCCACTTCCTGCAGAGATCTAGTCATTACTAGACTTAACATCGGAACCAATTTTTCGTTCCGATCCTAATGACATCATTACATGTGACAGCTGATGAGCCATATCTCATGCCTGGGGCACCATTTTTGACTCACCACACATCATGTTTACTTGACCCAAGTTCCAACTCAATCTGATAGATACGCAGTCTCCTGTGTTCCTGCCTCAAGGAGTAACTATGTTTGCAACTCAACAGTCTAACAGAGGGGTCGCAAAAAATTGAACAGAGACTCACAGGAAGACTCGAACTCCCACCTCCTCGAAAGAACATGTAAATGATTTCAAGGTGTCTTGACTGCTAGACTATATGACTGCACTCTACAAGGTGGTGAACCTGGTAAAGTGAGCTTACAGGAGCTGCCACTAACATGTGTCTGTAGATTTTCACTCAATGTATTGTATTCCAAACTCATCCCATGTGCAAGCACATATCCTGATCACTTCTACGTGGTCCCATAGTACTGGGTCTGGGATAAAAACCTGTATGATCTCTGATTTTACTTCAAGGAATACAACTAGGAATACTTGCGCTATGCCCACAGTGCTATAAAACTAGAATATGCCTAGCTGTGGTCCCAGACAGATGCTTTACTAAAAACTGGTACGGATCCATTTCCATTACACTCAAAGAGGGAATCGAACCCCCGTCTCCTTGAAAGATGAAATCTTGTTACACATTTAAAATTTCAAGGCGTCTTATCCACTGGTCTATTCAAGTTCATACTAGACCTAACACTAATGGTCAGAATGCTACCAAAATATTACACTCAAAGGAGTAATCAAAACCCCGCCTCCTTGATCCTTCAGCATGTTATGATCTCAAGGTGTCTTGGCCACTTGACTATTTGAACCCCAGATATTGTCCAACTCCTTACTATTACTCGCTTGAGAGCACACTCAAAGGATCCTCACTTTGTCTTGTCCGCTTGACTAATTGGGTACAAAAATTGCGCGGCCTCATGGTGAATACTCACTGGAAGACTCGAACTCCCATCTCCTCAAAAGAAAGATGTCCTGCATGCAAATGATTTTGAGGTGTCTTGCTATGTGAGTACACTATAACAGTAACTTGTGGGGCTTCACAAAAAAATGCCATATGCATCTGATATATACTGGAAAGAGGAATCGGCCCTCCACTTCCTTGATTTTCTGATCTATAAATCCAAGGCGTGTTATTCGAGTGTGTATCAAAAGTAGTTCACCAGCCATGGGATGGAAAGCCGGCGCACTCAAGGAATCCAACGAGGCATGGGCACTGGAAAAAAATGTAACCCGTTCAATCGAACCCCCGCCTCCTGGATGTTATGATCTCAAGGCGTCTTGAGCACTTGACTGTTTGAGTGTGGACAGGAATAGGAACCCCCTGAGTTTCCTTGACTATTCGATTGTTGCCCGAGACACCCATTCACAGGACCTCTCTATTAAATCTCACAGTCAGCCCAAGGGGTCTTGCCCGTTGGACTATCACTGGAGGTGGCCAATAGACCTGGTCAACCCTAACCCCACATCCAAGGCAGAGCTTATAATCAAAATAATAATAAGATCCGTGTTGGATGAATTGAACCCCCGCTCCTTGAAATATCAAGGCATATGCATGCCAATATGATATGCTTAGCTACATTGGCTTTTACTTGACCCAAGTTCCAACTCAATCTGATAGACTCACAGTCTCCTGTGTTTCTGCCCTCACCAGTCTAACAGAGGGGCCGCAAAAATTTCACAGAAACTCACCTCCTCGAAAGAACATGTAAATGATTTCAAGGTGTCTTGACCACTGGACTATATGAGTGCACTCTAAAAAGTGGTGAAACTGGTACCTCTCACATTCCAAGCTCAGAATGAAACCACGTGTGAGGGGAAAAAATTGTATGATCTTTTGACTATACCCAAAGGAGGATTCGAACCCCCGCCTCCTTCTGTTCAATGAATGATATAATTTCAAGGTGTCTTTACCATTGGACTATTCGAGTGTATACCAGATGGTGTTTCTAACATTTGAAATGTGGATGTGGTACCCCTCAGACAAGGCTGTACATGCCTGCCACTTGTAATTTCAAGGTGCCTTATTCTAGTGTGCAGACTAAACAATGTTCAGCACCTTCTAGCAAAGTCGACCAGTGCCACCATAGTTGATCAAGATTATACAAGCAATTTTGAAACTTCAGTCCTTTAGACAAGGGACTAACATTGGAAATAATTTCTAGTTGCGATCCTAATGACACGTCTGATGAGCCATATTTCATGCCCGGGGAATGGTTTATGACTCACCACACATCACATGGCCAGACTAGTTCGACTCCTGAAACCTTCTTATCCATCCCACTTATTGGTCACTTGCCTATAATTTCAAGGTGTCAAAATCAATTGGATAGTTGATCAAGACTGGCCAAGCAGTTTCCTGGTTGGGCTGCTTGTTACCTAGACTGGCCAAAATAAAATAAACCGCGCAGGCTGAGAGGGTGGAAGTATGACCACCCTGACGGGTACAAGAGCACTATCGCTCGGAACAAAAAAAAAATTGATTAAATATCTTATTGCTTTCTTATCACACTCAAAGGGGGAATCGAACCCCCGCCTCCTTGAAATACAAATTCAAAATCTCAACCACTTGTAATTTCAAAGCGTCTTATCCACTTGACCATTTGAGTGCATACGAGATGGCATTCTTGCTTTGTACAACTTGATGCCGTCCATTTTCTTATGCGCAAGTGATAATGGAAAAAATTATCCATCCTTTATTACTCACAGGAAGAATCGAACTCCCGTCTCCATGAAATAAGGAAGCTACGAGCCGTAAATGATTTCAAGGCGTCTTGACCACTGGACTATGCGAGCGCACTGTAAAATTGGTAACCCTGGTCAAGTGTGCAAAAAGTGGTCACACGTGGAACGGTCAGGGAACCTATGTCTATTCAGTGCATAGTACTGATTTGTCCCACCCCTAGACTATCTGAGCCTTCTTATTAGTTGATACAAGTCCTATTATGTCACTGAAATTGGTTCATATGTCATTCTGAATGACTATTGACCCCAGCAAGGGACTTATAGTCCAGTTTCAGTGAGTATCACATGCTCAAATCCCACAAACTGGCAGAGGTATTAACATTGGAATGAATTTTCAATTCCGAGTCTAAATTTCCTACTTCATAAGTCTAACGTCTTGCGCACAAACCACTCAATGGTCTTTATTGTAAACCCCCGCCTCTTCTTGACCACTTCAGTGTATACTAGCCGTCAGCCAGAAGGAATCTTTTGTCTTGACGAACCATCTGCAGTACACAACAATTGTTTAATCGAACGAAAGATGATTCAATGCGACTGGGATTTTAAAAATCTGAAGGCTGTCTTAGACATGTCCAGCAGTACGGAAATGTTACATTACACTCAAAGGAGGAATCGAACCCCCGCCCCCTTGAAATAAAAGTACAAAAGCAACAATCTGTAACTCCAAGGTGTCTTGACCACTTGACTATTTGAGCATGCAGACTAAATGATGTTTGACAGAAGGAGTGTTGCACTTGGTAGGTGACGGCCACCAAATTAGGAAAAACTTTTGTGCTTTTGCCTAGTTGCACTGTGACTTGCTCCTGTGGCAGCTTTGAGTTTCCTGGTTGGTCTAAAAAAATATGAACAGTACCCAAAGGAGGAATTGAACCCCCGCCTCCTTGATGATATATAACTTCAAGGTATCTTGACCACTTGACTGTACTAGGAGTGGTGAACCGGCTTTTTTCAACCACATCCTGCATGGATGTTAATGGCACCTCCAATATGATGCTGTGCGATCTCTGTGACTTGGAGAGTAGAAGAAAACCAGTTTGTTTTTGACATCAGTTACTTGTCTCCATGAAATATAGCTCTGCTGCCTATGTGTCGGATCCATTGCCCGAACAAGTTCCTGCGCATCAACCCCCCGCCTCCCAGAATCCTCTGGAGGTGTCTAAGCCATTTTACTATACTAACAATTTAGATGTAGCCCTCGGACGCCCTGATCACATTTGTCACAGTGGTGACCGACCATTACTCTAGGACAGTGACAAAAATCATTCACAGGAAGAATCGAACTCCCGTCTCCATGAAATCTCACAGTGTGCCCGAGTTATATGATTTCAAGGTGTCTTGACCGCTAGACTATGTGAATAAGCACTGGATATGTTGAAAGTCTACCAATAATAGAAAAACTGGGAAAAGGCACAGCTGGATCTCTCAACAAGGAGGAATTGAACCCCCAGAATCCTTGAAATATAACCAATGTCAGTGCCTTTGCCACTTGAGTATTCGAGTCTGTCCTCAAGGCAGGCATTATCCACAAGTTCTACGCTCTATTACACGACATTGGCCTTTCAATCCATACCCTGATAGCTCAAGTCCAACCTCAATTTGATGGATCCGACCTCACAGGGTTCATTTCCGAGTATGACATGTGAGCCAAGGCATACAACCCCCAGGCATGTATTTGACTATTCGAGTGCAACAGCTGAAAAAAAACTCATCAATTACCATCTCCTTGACCTTGCTTGACCACTGGACGGAACGTTGCAGCTTCTTGAACTCCCAACCCTGATAGCACAACTGTTAGTTGATATCTGTCCAAACCCGATTCAGTGGAGATCCTCAATGTGTCCTCAATGATTTTAAGGCGTCTTGACCACTTGACTATTTGAGTGGATACCAGATGGCGTTTCTATACTGTCTTGATGCCCTGCCTTCAGACAAGGGCCATTCATCACTGAATACAACATGAGCAAGTCCCACCTATTGCCATACACTTACTCCCGTCTCCATGAAATGATGTCAACGGTTTTTGGGCATTGGGCCGTGGTAACTCGATCACCCCTTGCAGGATCAAGTGAGAGAAAAAATTCAATCTCTTCGAGTTTGCCACTCCCAAAGGAGGAATCAAACCCCTGCCTCCTTGAAATATTGGTACTTAATGAACGGTATATAATTTCAAGGTGTCTTGACCACTGGGATCAACTACCACTTTGTGTGTGTGTTCAATGCCACCTAAAATTTTTCATTTTTACCCTCCTCCTTGAAAGATGAAATCTTGGGTCATATATATAATTGCAAGACTAGCAGATGGTTGTTTTGCACTCACAACCCAGCGCCGCTGGGTGCCTGGATCCAACTTGCGTCCCGGCTCATCTAAAATAAACACACGTGTGAGATGAAGGAAAATCTCCTAAAAATTATTCCTTGGTTGTGAGGATTTCAACCACTGGACAATGCGAGTGCACTATGGAAGTTGACAACTTGGGCTCGTACCGCCACATCTTCCATCTTAGCCGTGTACTGGCACTATCAAGCAGTACAAGAAAAAAATGCAACTCATTCAATCATTTCCTATCACACTCAAAGGAGTAATCGAACCCCCGCCTCCCTGAAATATAAATGCCGAATCAACGATCTATGATCTCAAGGTGTCTTGGCCACTTGACTATTTGAGTGCATACCAGATTGCATTTTTGTAGCCCTATACCATTGTGCCCTTGCCATTTCCTTGTGTAGCATAAAAACAAATGCTGGTAATCATCCTATATACACACATACTCACAGGAAGATTCGAACTCCCGTCTAAATAAAGATGTATTTTATGTGAATCATTTCGAGGTGTCTTGACCACTGGTCTATGTGAGTGTACTATAAAAGTGATAACCCTGATAATCTGCGTTTGATTTTGGACCACTCTAATCTGGCACAAGCACAGCAGCAGGCGAGGGAAAAAAGTGGATAGAAATTAAATCTTTACAAGCAAGCTATATACTTGGAGAGAGGCTGCTATAAAAATGAAACTTCAGTCCTTTAGACACAATGACTAGCAGGGTGCTTGGTTTAACGCTCAGTCCCTAACATCGGAAACAATTTTTAGTTCCGATCCTAATGACATCATTACACGTGACGTCTGATGAGCCATATTTCATGCCCAAGGAATGGTTTATGACTCACCACACATCACGTGGCCAGACTAAGTATCTTGCTTTTCGTATTCCAATTACCATGGACCCACTCATTGGTCACCCTCCTATAATTTCAAGGTGTCAAAATCAATTGGATAGTTGATCGAGACTATGCTCCTGCGGGCCAACACTTTCCTGGTTGGGCCGCTTGTCGCCTAGACTGGGCAAAAAAATAAACAAACTGCGCAGGTCGAGAGGGTGGAAGTATGACCACCATCGCTGAGAACAAAAAACAAAAAAAAATCAATTGTCTTATTGCTTTCTTATCACACTCAAAGGGGGGATCGAAACCCCGCCTCCTTGAAATATCAAGGCATGATATACATTGGCTTTTTAATCCATACCCTGATAGCTCAACTGTTAGTTGACCCAAGTTCCAACTCAATGATAGATTCGCAGGTTCGAACCTGGCAGTGTAATCCACGCCTCCTGTGTTTCCGCCTAGTATTTTACACCTACATGTAACTAAGTTTGCAACTCACCGTCTAACAGAGGGGTCGCAGAAATTGCACAGAAATCACATACATTCCTCAACACTCACTGAACTCCCGTCTCCTTGGAATCTGATAGTGCGCCCAAGCTATATGATTTCAAGGTGTCTTGACCACTGGACTATATGAGTGCACTCTAAAAAGTGGTGAACCTGGTAAAGTGAGCTTACAGCAGCTGCCTCTCAGATTTGGTTCTGCATTCCAAGCTCAGATTAAACACACGTGTGCATGCAATCGGCCGTGTGTTCCTTGGGCAGGGGAAAATTTTTTGACTACACCCAAAGGAAGAGTTGAACCCCCCAACTAATCTCATGGCAGCCACTATTTGAGTGCATACCTATGCTGAGCCCGATGCTTTGATGAATTGCTGGATGTCTGCCTAATGCCTCTTGACCACTTTACTATTCGAGTCCATACTAGGAGTAATACAACCAGGAATACTTGCGCCACGTCTGCAGGACTATACAGTACTAAAAATGTTTATGATACCATTTCTTCTACACGCTTGAAAGAGGGAATCGAACCCCGGCCTCCTTGAAAGATGAAATCTTGGGACAGAATAATTTCAAGGTGTGTCTTATCCACTTGACTATTCAAGTTTGTACTAGATGGTTTCAAAATAAACAACGCTACTGAAATGTTACACTCAAAGGAGGAATTGAACCCCCGCCTCCTTGAAATATCTCAAGTCCTTCAGGATGTTATGATCTCAAGGCGTCTTGGCCACTTGACTATTCGAGTGTGTACTAGCTTTTGTCTGTACCCCAGATATTGTTCAACTCTTTACTATTAACCAGCAGAACTTGCTCGGGAGGATTCGCCCCCTTGCAATCAGTCACTTTGTCTTGGCCACTTGACTAGTTGAGTGCATATGGGTCACAAAAATTTGCGCAGTCTCATGGTAAATACTCACAGGAAGAATTGAACTCCCGTCTCCTTGGAATCTCAATGAAATTTGCTAAAGAAATACGTATGATTTCAAGGTGTCTTGGCCGCTGGACTATGTGAGTGCACTATAAAAGTGGTGAACCTGGTATCACAGAGTTCCTGGTTGGGTGGCACCTCTTCAACTTTTACTGTTAGCAGTATGCAACCCTGATAGTGCAACTGTTAGTTGGTATCTGTCCTACTTTGATTCCATGGACACGCAGGTTTGAACCTCACAGGGTATTCGACGCGTCTGGTATTTCTGCAGATTTTTTTTTTCAAATGATACTATTTCTTACAGATATCTTCCTTGGAACAAGTGTACATGTCAAGGTGTAAGTATACCAGATGGTGTTTCCAAGTGACCTGCTCTGGCCACTTACCAACCAAGAGAATTTTCTACTTACAGGACCAAGGCATCTTGGCCACTGGACTTGGGCTCTCACATCAAAGGGTGATCACTCCCTGGCTTTCTATCGAGCCTCCTGGTGGCAGGGAAGCCACACATACAGGAGGAATTGAACCTCTGCCTCCTTGAAATATTAGACATGACTATTTGAGATGGTCCCTCATCCGCACGTATATCTCCCCGTAAGAATACGGCCATAAAATTTGCCAAAATTGGTCTATATGGTATGGCATCAGACCAATATCCTACTATTGGTTTAAACTCACCATGGTAGAGAATCATGCCCTTTGAAAACTGGTCACAGAAACCATTTATGGTACAGTTATGGGTACCTACGGTGGAGATGCTCACACCACTGGGACCAAACCTGAGTCGTATCTCTTCCCTCACTCTGATAGCTCAACTATTAGTTTACCGACCGACGCAGGTTTGATCCTGACAGGGTAATCTATCCCCCATCTCTTGTCCCACGCTGGTTGTCAAAATCTTGCACAGTAGTAATCCAGGTCAGGATGAGTAGAGGCCAAAAGACCCAGAATTCTGCCAGAAAAGTGGCGTTACCAAGTGGCCACAACCTCAGAGGATAGCCGGCACAACCTGGGTCAATTATCATCAATCCAGACCAAGCACAAGGTCACCCTAAGTTGTGTGGGATCTTAGTTATCAGGCCTTGTACAGAGGCTGCCGGGGGGGGGGGGGGGCTGGGTGATATCTCAAAGCTCAGATAGTACACTGGTACTACAGACTGTGTGAGAACAAAAAACGATTAGACAAGACTGTTACATAGGTGCCAAAGTGCCTTTGGGACTCGAACCCTTGTCCATCTGGGGTTACCAATGCCACTGTGCTATATAGACACTACATGTACTCTTAAAATTGATTAAAAAGAACCTCTGTTTGACTTGACATCATTGTACGTAGTAGTTCTATCGTCTCTCTGTTTAGTACACCTTATATGTTACTGGACGTATTACAAGCCGCTCTACTAGAAATCTGCATCCAAAACCCTAAGAGAACACGTCAAATGATTTAAAACTGAAAACTAGACAGTGGCACTTACAAGGGTGCCGCCGTCAAAATAGAGGAGATCTGGACACCAACGTGGGCCTCTCTCTCGTTCCTTGGCTCTAGTGAGAACCCCCTCTGGGAGTGGTATATAGGTGAACCTCCAAACCCGATAGACAATCTATCGGCCATATATTCAATACGCTTGTTCACCAGGGTAACATCAAATCCAGGCTTGATGTTGTCTACTAGCCCAGTTAGATTCACCCAAAGTTGGAGCGTCTAAAAAGTACGTACCCTGTACAAAATCTTTCTCAATGACCACGCCTCTTCAATGACTTTTTCCAGACTCTGAGGGTGTATGCGCTTGCAGAATGTCTCAAACACCAGGTAGCAGAACTGGACATCCTGGGTCAGGTCGCTAGTGATTTGGCAAATGGCAGAAGAGATATTGGAAGATGGATTGTCCCTAACCAACCATTCCAGCACAGCAAGAGTGCCAGCACAGAACAACCCTCTAACAAGTGCATCAACTAGCACCAGCTTACTGAATTTGCATCCTGGATCGGCGATCTGCCTTTCGATCCAGCTCATCTTGGTCTGAAGACTGGGTGAAGAGTCGATACAATGAGGTTTTAGAATATCAGCATAAGTTTCGAGCTGTATATTCGTGCGCATGGTTTGAAAACCATAATAAGACCGAGCCTCTTGGATTTGGATAGCTCTGGATATTCGATTGCTAAGATCGTGGATAGTGGAAGAGTCAAAAGTCGATGCCATGTAGGATATCAATTGTAGAACTTGGGTGTCCGTCGCGCTTTGCTTCAGGTCAAAACTCTCAGACGTCCAAAACGAATGCTGGGCTTTCTTATACAAGGCCCAAATCTAGGTGGGTTAGCCAAGATAACACACCCACAGAGACACTCACTTCTGGGTACGTGATTGGAAACAACACAAATCTCTTTTTTCCACTTGAAATCAAAGGCTCCTCTTCTGAAATGACATTCAAATTGACTGGGTAACTGTGTAAGGATAGGATCTCACCATGATTGTGTACTTTTGTATCAGACATGGTGAGAGCAAAGATAAAATGGCCCAGATCAGCCTTTTTACATAAAGTGAATCCTCACCCTCATTCTGACCTCAGAATGAGGGGTGCGAGCCTATCATGTGACTGTTGATTCCCACAACATAACTTTGACTTGACCACCATCTTGAACGTAAGTCATCCACACACAATCTTTGTATCATCTCATGTTTTTCATGCAGTAGTAAATCAACAAGTTACTCTCTAACCCCGTTGTAGTATTGTTGTGTTGGAAAAGGTACGTTGCCAAAACCTAAATGGTAGTCCATGAATAACATTTATCTCATGTAGAAAATGGTATTCTCTCGTGGAGGAAAAACTGGACCCTCACTCGCCGATGATGATATGGAGTTTTCAGACTTTGGAGAGACTGCAGCCGCAGCCGACACTACGTATTACGAAAACACCAACAATGTCCTCCTCGATCTCCTTGCAAACCTGCAGCGTAAGTTGAAGCGCCAAGAAGAACTCCAGATCTGGAAGGATACAAAAATCAAAGAGCTTGAACAAGAGCTTGACACGCAGCGTGCCTTGGCAGCTTTACAAGCAAAGGTGGGACTACTCGAGGAGGTGATTGAGAGGCTAACTGAGGAGAACAAGATGTTGAAACAAGGACAAGCGTAGAGTAGATCGTGAGTGGCGTGTGCTTTGAAGGTTGCATGTAATAAAAATGAATACGTCTTTGACAAGTGTTGAGTGCCGTGAGCAGGAATCGAACCTTTGTTAGTTTGATGAACCCAAGGGTTTATCAGGACCATGAGCTTCCAACTATGTATGGGTCACATTACAAGTAACATCTGAGGGTTTGAATAGAATGACACCTGCAGCTTGACTACTCTGAAGCCCCTGTAGTCTAATGGTATCATCGCTTGGTCATTTATTAGTGATTTTACAAGGGTTCAACTCCCTCTAGGGCACTGAGCACTTTGTATGCCTTGTTTAATATTTTTTAATCATTACTATCCGAACTAAAAAACATTCCGATGCTAATGACGTCATTGATTTAGAGTCTACTTTATATAAATATCACAATGCTCGAGATATTCAAGCAGTAAATGAATCCGTTTACAGTTCATATTAGGTAACAAGGAAAACCCCGGCGCCGAATCCCCCGACTCGATTCTTCCCTTGTATAGCAGCTGTCGAAGGTACCATAGGATATTCAATCCACACGAAGATGTGTCAGATTGCGTTGGAACCTTGGAGGGGTTAGGCATCAACCACATCTATATAATCCAGCCACTCACCTTTTTCCACACCCACTTCCATTCGTTTTCCTTCATATCCAATCCCTGCATGGCAAGGAGTGTGCGACATATCCATGCAAGGCCCTAGGAACCCAAAAAATTAGCCAAAGTAAAGAAACACAACACATACGAGTACTACCAGCATTGCTTCCGACGCTCTCTTTTTCTGGGGGAGGCTATCGCATGTGAACATGGTCTTGGCAGAAAAATCAATGATTGCACTGAACCAGTGCTCGTTGTTTTCGTTGATGGCGATATAGACGAATTTGATATCTTTAATATCCATCTCGAGTATCTAGTGTTTTCTCATAAAAGTTATACCATATCAAGTGAATGAAAAACACGTACCTGGAGTTTCTTGTCCAGGTTCAAGCTCAGGGTTGGTTGCTTGTGAAACTGGGGTGAACCTTCTGTGCATGCCTTATCCTTGTACATAAAAGTAGCAGAGAAATAAGAATTGAGGAAGAGTACAGGATACCGCCTTCCCTGTCGAGCCCACGTAGTCCCGAAATGTTCAATGACTTCGTCATTTATCCACTCGCCTGCTCGTAGCTTTAATAGAGATTCAGTTTGAATGAATCTCTTCTGGCCTGGACGCCATTTGATATTTTCGGTCTAAAAAAAAAAAACTGGCTGAGACACTGATACAAAGAGGATAAAAACCAGCACACACGTAGGATACAAGAACCGAAAGCGTCTCCCGGGTCAGTTCATTGTCGTTGTCAAGTCGTGACCAGAAATCTTGACGCTTCATCCAGTACTCCGCCTCATCAGAGGGTACTGCATTTGATGATTCTGGTGAGTGAGGTACTGATGGCAGAGGGACGATCGATGGTTCGGACAGGTGTTCTTGGGGACGGGGTGTCGAAATGGATTGTTCCAGGAGACGAGTTACCGGTTCTGTCAGGCTCGGGACTGACTCTGGCACGCCACCAAAGATGACCGATGTTGCCTGAATGGTAAGGTTTACGACCTGGTGCCGTGATCTTCTAGGCCTCTCGTGGGCCACAATTTCTGGAGCCTCGTAAGCCACAGGTTGGTCGTGTGGAGCCTTGGCGGCCACAAGCTCATCGTGTTGAGCCTTGGCGGCCACACGCTGATCGTGTGGAGCATAGGGAGGAGGCGGGGCCTCATCTGGAATGGGAGGAGAGGTAATGCTTGGAACAGGCACAGTAGCAGGGATTGGGGCAACAGGAGGTGGCGGCGAGTCTTTAGACGCCATTTAGCTTGATACAAGGTAACCAAATGACCAACTCACCGACCCAAAAGAAGGCACTCTCCAAAGCAGACATACCTTCAACCAACGGCGATATTCGGGTATAGATTTCCAAGAGA